TATAACAGCACCACAATAGTGGCTAACAGCACTGACATAGCGGCTATAACAGCATACAACTCATCATTTCACAGCACAGCACAGCACAACTAAACAACTTACAGCACAACTAACACAGCTCACAGCACAGCTCATCATCATTTACAGCTCAACTCAGCATAAAACAACATTTATCAGCAATTTCAGCATTTTCATCTAGTCAGCACAACATATTCATCAAATATCAGCTTAAATCAACACAAACAACATTCGGCACAGCTCAGCTTTTCATCATACGACATTAACATCATTAATCAGCATACAACATTATCAGCAAATTTAGCATATCAATTCAACATTCTTCTACGCGCCCGGCGCACCCAAGGTCGCGCCCAGCGCAACTCAAACAGAGAGCATCAGGGGCTAACACGCCCAGCGCAAGACTGCCCGCGCCCGGCGTGGCCCCTCTCGCGTCTGGCGCAATTGAGAATTGCGTCCAGCGCTTGCCAGGCAGAGACTCCATGGAGTCCCACGCGCCCAGCATGCCTGAACCCGCGCCCAGCGCGGGGAAGGCAGAGACCTCTCCTAGGTCTCACGCTCAGCGCAATTTGAATTGCGCCCAGCGCCCTCCAGGCAGAGACTCCCAAGGAGTCTCGCGCCCAGCGTGACTAGGGTCGCGCTCAGCGCTGAACCACCACTCAAATATTGCCTGCGCGCTTGGCGCGATTCTTTCCCCGCCCGCCGTGGACCAACCAGAGGCTCACCTTCTCAAGCTCGCCCGACGCACACATCTTTGCGTCCAACGAGCTTGTCAAAAAAAGAGCCCCCAGGTGGTCTCGCGCCTGGCGCGAAGAACCGCGCTCAGCGCGAGACTCGCCAGCAACCCATCCAAGTTCAAAAACTTCACAAATCCTGCAAAATAACCAGAAAGTCTAACATGCAATCCAGCAAACAGTTCACATTTTCATCATAGATCAATAAAAATCAATCATTTTCCACATGCAACCACAGAACAAGAATTTCCCAAAATTTTCTCAAAAGCCCCAAAAACCCGAAACCCTCAATCTCATCATTTTCAACCAAAAATCATCAAACAGCAACAGCCAAAGAGTTCCTAGAACTCATTTTCATCCGAAAACGGCAAAAGAACCTAGCTTCCCTTACCTCGGTGGAGAATCCGAGCTTCCGGGAATAGACAATGGAGAAGAAAGAGCTCGAAAAAGGCGGAGAACGGAGAAGAGATTTTCGGCTTTCCTGCTAGCTTTCAAACACGAGAACCAGCACCTACACACCCAAGAATATAGAGAATTTGGACCAAGGCAAACAAAGGAAAGAAGAGAGTGAGATGTGCAAGTGAGAGTTTTGAGAGAAAGTGAGTAGGAGAGGGTGAGAGTGAAAACAGGAAAAGGTTAGGGTCTCACATCCTCCCCAACAACAAGAGTTTTCGTCATTGAAAACAGACTTACTTGGGAATAAAAACGGATATCGCTCCCGGCACTGCTGTTCCACCCCCCGAGTAGACTCACCGGTAGTTGCATCCCACAGGACCTTCACCAGGGCAATGGACTTGCCCCTCAGCTCCTTCAGCTTATAATCCACTACAGCTACTGGCAACTTCTCAAAGGTCAGGTTCTCTTTCACTTGTACATCGTCCGGTTCCACCACATGACTTGGGTCATGAGTATACTTCCTCAGCTGAGACACATAAAATACATCGTGTGTATATCTAAACTATATCTTATAGAATTATCTTAACAAGATTCTAGTAGAATTAATTATGCATATCTCTAATATTATACGCAGGATCTGGGGAGATCCCCATCAATGAACAATAAATTAAAATACACTCTTTTGTGTACTCTATGTTAGAGAATGACTTAACTTTATAAACTTCTTTTAAATTTCAGATACAAATTCTTATGAATTAATTACACATATCTTTTCCTATAATTTTAACCAATTTTCTACTTGAATTAATTGTGCATACCTACAAATTGTGGAAAAAAAAAAGGTTAATAAACAATTGTTTCAAACTAAAATTGCTTTCTTGGAAAGAAGTAAATATGTCGAATGACATTTTGGGTGTATGTTGCTTCTTTACCTAAAAACACATTAATGGAAAAACATACTTTTTTTAATCCAACATGCCAGACACATATTGACCATTCATTAAATGGCCATCTCAATGAATGTAGGCAATATAATTATAAATCTCATAAATAAAGAGTAAACAATAATTGAACAGGAAAATTTTCGAAACTAGCATAGCATAGACCTCAAACAATTGCGGAAGGTATAATATAGAGTCAAGATATAACTTCGTCCCTGAAAGTGACAACTTGTTTATCTTTAGTCCTTGAAAGTGTTGGTATACACAATTTGATCCCCGAATGTGCTAACTTGATCACATTTTAGTCTTTTTGGAGACTAGTTAGTCCTTAAAAAGTGTAAATATGTACAATTCAAACCCCAAATGCATTAATTTTGTTCACATGTTGATTATATACATGTAAGGACTAAATTAAACACAGCAACACTTTAGAGAACAAAAATTAAATAGGAATTACTTTCAGAGATCAAGCTGTATATTAACTGTTACCGAAATTGTTTGCCTGGAGCAATCTTGAATATTTTCAAGTGAGCTTCTTATTATTTGCGTAAGTGGCTCTGAAATTAGTTTTGGCTGCCTAGTTCCTATGTAAAGAATAAATAAAAATCACCAAGGACCACATGTGGTTAGGCTGTAAGCTTTTGTTTTGAACCTTTGACCAATCAATCTTCCTTTTTTGCATAAATTTGTAACCGAAAATGTTTCTTTGAAGCAATCTTGAATATTTTCCTGTGACATTATTATTTAAGTGGCTCATGAAATGAGTTTTGGCTTCTTGGTTATTATTATGTAAACAATAATTAAAATCACTAGGGTCCACGTGTTTGATTTATAAACTTTTGTTTTTGAACCTTTGATCAATTAATCTTCCATTTAGCATATATTTTAGAGTTCTCAAAGAAAAATATTCATGAGCCACTTACTCAGATAATAATAAGCTCACAGGAAAATATTCAAGATTGCTTCAGACAAATATTTTCTGTTATAGTTAATATACAATTTGGTCTCTGAAAGTCGCAACTTGTGTTGCTTTACTTCATACCTTACAGATTGGACATAAAAAGTGTCAAGTTGATAATAAGTTTGTAAACGTATTTATATTGTAGAATTTAGATAGATTGACTTAACAGGCCCACATAAGTATATATATTTTTCACCATCTCTTGATCTCGGGAATAAGACAAAAATACACTTTTTCAAGATATCTCTCTCTCTTAACGAAGTTTACCCTACCAAGTTGTCAAGGTTGTATATCAAAGATGAAAACTTTCAAGTGCCAAATCAGCACAAGTTTCCACTTCTACAGATACAATTATATATTAATTCTTTCATGTCATTTTAGTGAAAAACTGACCATATTCACGAAATCTACATCATTGACAAGATACCTTCTGTTGAAAATTAAACAAAAGTTCACCTGTTTCTTAATCAATGTAATATAGTAGTCAAGCAAGATGGAAATCTTAAGAATACTCAAAGTGAACGTTAAGAAGCAACAAACACTTAAAATAATATTATAATTAGGAAAAAAGCAAGGGTTACAGACACGGAAAAGGGAGATAGACACAGAGTAAAGAAAGGTTAGTCTTACTAGCAACTGGGCGCAAACAAGCTCTTGCCTTGACTCCTGAAAAAGATTTAGAGTTAAGATTAGTAAGCAGCCATTAATTTCAGTTCTTTTTAATATAAGCATACTTGTAGAAACAACTGTACTTGTTCCTGAAGTGCATGTTTAAGCTGGGAAAGCAGTGAAGCCCTTGCAGCCTCAGCATTTTCAAGTTGTTCCATATATTGTTTAAGCTTCTTTTCCATCTCATGCAAGTCATTCACCAAAGTGGATCCCAACTGATTTCCTGATGTGATATCCAACCAATGTCAGCATAACCAAATTTAATGAAATATCACTTCACAACTGCAATAGAAATATGTAAAAGCTATAGAGAGTCAGCAAGTAGAATTGGCCATGCAAGTCTTCAAATGCCCTAAAAAACCAAGTAAGTGCAATATACCAACACAAATTGTATCTTGTGTATGGCAATAATGACAATACACTCATGTGCAAATCCATATTCGTAATCCAAGACTTGCAAGTTATCCATAATTGTAATCCTTCATAACTCTTGGGCATCACTAATGGATATCCAAAAGGCCAGGCTATGGGAGGGAGACTGTGATGAGAACTATAGGATTACAGGAATTTGTGTGTCTGTATCACACTGATTTTATTTATATTCATAAGAAGAGATAGTTAAGGATACAATGATAGAAATCCCTAAACTCTAGCTATATAGTATTTTCCAAGTTTACCTATTCACATCAAGGTTATCAATAAGGTTATACGGTGGATGGCGGCAAGGATCTTTAAGTGCCATACTGCCATGGCGGTCTCTGGCGGACATCATGGCAGACAAAAAAAAAAAAAA